GAGATGTCTACTTTTTATCATGCTGTTTAGGTTCGCCATCGCTTTCCTCCCAAGGAGCAGGCGTCTTTTAATTTCATGGCTGCTGTCACAGTCTGCGGTGATCTGGGATCCCAGGGACGTGAAGTCTGTCACCACTTCCACGACTTCCCCTTCTATTTGCCAAGGAGTGATGGGGCCGGATGCCATGATCTTAGTTTTTTTGATGTTGAGCTTCAAGCCCACTTTTGCGCTCTCCTCTTTTACCCTGAGCAAGAGGCTCTTAAGGTCCTCTTCACTTTCTGCCATTAGAGTGGTATCGTCTGCATATCTGAGGTTGTTGATCTTTTCCCCAGCAATCTTAATTCCCGCTTGTGATTCATCCAGGCCAGCATTTCGCATGATGTACTCTGCATATATATTAAATAAGCAAGGTGACAATATACATCCTTGTCGTACTCCTTTTCCTATGCGAAACCAATCAGTTGTTCCATATCCGGTTCTAAACATAGAAACTTACCCTAGACAAATGTACCGATGTACTCAAGGTCTACTTCTGTCTGCTGTTTGTGTTCCATTTTCAGGTGTGGACAGATTCAGCGAAGATATCCAGCAGATGATGGGTTTCAAACCAGGACTCTACTGGAGATTGTGTTGGAAGTTCGTGAGCCCTGCTTTTTTATTGGTAAGCTATCTGTCTCTTCATTTGTTCCTAGCATGGGTCCAGATATCTCTCCATGCACTGATCAGGAGTATTACGGGTTACCCCTCTCTATTACAGGGTGAGTATCCAAACTACGCGTTGCAGATGGCAGTTATCATTTAAGCTTCATGAGAGCCAATGTGGTGTCGTGGTTAAGAGCAGCGGACTGTGACTTGGAGAACCGGGTTTGATTCCCCACTCCTCCTCCGCATGAAGCCTGCTGGGTGACCTTGGGCCAGTCACGGTTTTCTCAGAACTCTCTCAGCCCCACCTGCCTCACAATTCCCTCTTGAAGCCGTCCATGCTTGTAGCCGCCACCACCTCCTGTGGCAGTGAATTCCATGAGTTAATCACTCTTTGGGTGAAGAAGTACTTCCTTTTATCTGTTCTAACCCAACCGCTCAGCAATTTCATGGCGTGCCCACGGGTTCTTGTATCGTGAGAAAGGGAGAAAAGTACCTCTTTCTCTTCCTGCTCTATCCCATGCATAATCTTATAAACCTCAATCATGTTACCCCTCTGCCATCGTTTCTCCAAGCTAAAGAGCCCCAAGCACTTTAACCTTTCTTCATAGGGAAAGTGTTCAGGGCCGGCTCACGCACTAGGCGAACTAGGCGATCGCCTAGAGCGGGACAGCCTTTAGGGGCACCAAACTGCACACGGCCCCGTACTCTGGGAGTTTCTTGATTATTTGTGTTTTTCATTCTTCCTAAAATGCATTTATTTTTGAAAATTGGTGGGCGCACGGGGGGTGCGGCAGAAGGGATCCTTGCCTAGGGTGCAAAATAAGCTGGAGCCGGCCCTGAAAGTGTTCCAACCCTTTTATCATTCTAGTTGCCCTTTTCTGCACTTTTTCCAAAGCTATAATATCCTTTTTGAGGTGTGGTGACCGGAACTGTACACAGTATTCCAAATGAGATCGCACCATTGATTTATATGGGGGCATTACGATATTGGCTGATCTGTTTTCAATACCCTTCCTAATAATCCCCAGCATAGGAACCCTGGACTTCCTTGGTGGTCTCCCCTCCAAATAATAACCAGGACCGACCCTGCTTAGCTTCCGAGATCTGATGAGATCAGGCTAGCCTTGGCCGTCCAAGTCAAGGCAAAGAAGTATGTACTATTAATGGAACCAATTTTTCTGCAGATAATATTCTTATTAAATATCCCTCTCCAAATTTAAGAATTGCCAGATTAAAAGGAACAGAGAGCAACAGAGTTATACATTTTTTTTACCTTTTTTTTGTTTTTGCTTCAGTCTTTAACCATTTCCACATAAAATAGTTTTCCAAGGAATCCGCTAATGGCCTTATCAAAAACAGATTTAGGCTGTGGTCACACACACTAAATAATCCACATTCAATCCACTTTCAAACTGGATTTTTATTGCGTGAACTGGCAAAATCCATTTGGAAAGCACATTGGAAGTGGATTGAAAGGGGATTATTTAGTGTGTGTGACCTCGGCCTTAAAAACAAGAAAGCAGACATGGAAAACCTTTTTGGAATCATTTAAGTATTTTAACACATGGGAAATATTTTGACTTGGAACCCTTGCAACAAAAGAAAAAGAAAGTTTGTATGTTAACTTCCTCTGGAGAAATGGAAGATGCTTTTCACTAGCTCTGATCAGGGGTTTTGCAAGGCTATTAAGAAAGTGACTGTAGAATTGCGAGGAAGTACAGATGTGGTCCCCACGCTGAATCCTTTGCTCCTACAAGCTTTGCCAAATGAAACCCAGCAATGCAATTACAGTGACAAGCAGCAGATGTTAGAATGATTTTAGAAATAATAAAAGAACAGACGGAAAGCAAGACTGGGCAACTGGCACTTGATTCCAGATGTCAGATAATGGGAGTGTGACCGTGTTAAACATTCGGGCAGATTAACTAGACTTGTACTCTGTATGGTTCCCAAGCTGAGATGGGTAAGCAGGTATGAGCAGATCAATAGGAGCTGAAGGTGGCCTTAGCAGCTTTTCCGTGGCTAGGTGTATGTCAGCAAGCTGCCAAATTTCTTTTCTGTTGGCTTTGCCATGTATGCGCTTGCTTGCTTTCATTTTCATATGTAGACCTGTTTCATATGTAGATAGGCTTAGCTGCTGGAACATCTATATCTCTCAGTCATACTCGTTGCTTCCCCCCCCCATTCCTAACAGTGATCCTGTACATGCACCTATAGCTTCAAATAAAGTAAAACCTTTCTGCAAGAGTGTACTTCATTGATGCTGTGGGGAAGCCTGACAGTGTAAGACGGGTTGTCAGCTGTGGGTTGGGAAATACCTGGAGATTTTGGAGGTGGAGCTTGAGGAGGGCGCGGTTTAGGAAGGAAAGGGGCTCCAATGGGGTATAATGCCATCATTTTCTCCAGGTGAACTGGTCCCGCTTGCCTGGAGATCAACTGTAATCCCAGGAGATCTCCAGCCACCACCTGGAGGTCTAGAATAAATAAATGGAAGTACAGCAAAGAAGGTTGTGCATATAACAAGACAGTCAAAAACTATGACACTGTACCCCAAAATACTTGACACTTGATTCAAAACATTCTTATATTAACAGTGTAGTACTTTAAATAACGCTTCAGATCCATTCCAAAGACACCAACGTAAATAGTCCAATGCAGTTCAACAAATTCCTAACAGTCGATAAATGTCCACAGAACTAAGAGGAGTAACAGTTGATAGGTGTCCACAAAACACAGTTGCCGAGAGGAGTGGCGACG